TGCTGGGGTCTCCCACATTCCTCTTTGTGCATCAGAGCGGGTATCTGAGCAGGTTTTCCTCTTACCAGCCCTGTTTCTAAGCCCCCAATGCAATAAGGTCCTCCTCCGTGTTTGAAGGATCTTGGATGTTCCTTCCATCTCTTGGCAAAAGAAAGCTGAAAATATCCACAGATGTTCCGAAGAAAATATGTTCATGTGGGCCCCTGTCACCAGAGATTTGACAGTCTCCACAGGGGAGAGCTCCAGAAATCTTGGCCTTGATTCTCGCAGGTGTTGGACCGTTCCTTCCCTGGAGGTACTACAGGCTGAAGAAACTATGTGTACCTTGTCTGCAATCAGGCCCAGACCCTTTCCATAGCAGTTCCCGATCTCAGCAGATTTCTGCAATGTGCTTTTTATAATTTGTGGGTTACTTTAAATGTCCCTGTTACAGTGATAGCATCTCTAGTTGAGGCTCTGACATCAACTATGTTTGGAGACAGGCTAATAGCTGGGGTGAACTTTTAATTTGACTCAGTCGTTTTTTATGGTCTCTTTGTGTGGGAAACTGGAGAAAGAGTGTGGCAATGTGTCTCCTTTGCTCACTTTTCCTCTCACAATTGCTTCTGATTGAACCTTGTGCAGCTGCTTGGTGGCTGTGGGGTGGGTGTTACCTCAGGGCAGAGGACCATGCCTGTGGAAGTTGGATGGATTGAGCTGAAAGGGAGATCACTTGCAAACTGTCTCTGAGGCAGAGATAGAATGAGTGAGAACAAAAGTCCAGTGTCCTTTTCTCCTCCTGATTTGCCTTATTCAGCACCCAGTTGAGAGCTGGTCAGGAGAAATTCCCCCGGTGCAACTTGCTGTGGAAACTGAGGCAAATGGGTGATTCCAGGAGGTGGGGAGAAATGTTAGTGACCTGCGTCTGGCCTGTCCACTTTCCTAAGACTTGACACACGAGACCTCTCTGCTCTGGACCGTGTGGTGGGGAAAAGCCTCCCATCTGTCAGACATGCTGGCAGACAGTGTGGTACGCATCCATTGAGGTGAGTGGCACCTGTGCTAAGGGTGCGGGTCAGCACTGAGAACGGGCTGCTGTTGGTAAAATTATGTCTATCCACAGCTGCAATGCAGCCTCTTGGTTTCTCTGCCCCCCCAGGACCACTAAACCGGCTGCATTTGGCTGGATGTTGCAGATCAGGCTGATGGGCTCTCTTTGGTGTGTTGGGTCCCCCGCAGCAGCGCTGCTGGGCTGTATCACAACCGTGTGCAGTACGAGTGCTGCAGGACAAGGGCCGGTGGAGCAGGTCTCATACAGAGCATTCGGTGTTTGGCAGGCCTGTACTTTGGGGCTGCCTAGGAAATCCTGTCTTTTTCCATGTTCCTGGCTGTCTGTAGCTGGAGTCTGAAGGTCTGTGTGTTTATTTCCATTTTTTACAGATCTGTCTGGGGCTCTGGAGTCCCTGACACAAGAGGGCCTTCATCTGTGGCCATCTATGTCCCGGTCACTCTTCTTGTTGTGCCAGTGCAGCCTATTTTGCCCAGAAGTCACCTGCTCTGAACATGATCTACAGGATTACTCTGATTATCCATGTCCAGTTCTTAAGTAAGTTGTAAAGTAGCTGTAATTTCACAGCTTTGCTGTTAGATAAGCAAAGTGCATGATAGTCTCTTTATCAGCATGTAAGCATACACTTTTCTGTGGTCATCTTTGCTATTTTTTGCTTGTTATTGCTATTTCTTTGATCAAGAAAGAGTTCAGAGTTCAAGCATAGCTCTCTGGCTAGTTTCATTTAACAAAGAAAGAATTCCTATTCTTATGAATATGAATCTTTGTCAGTGTCTGCATCTTCATCAGTCTCTGGGGTCCTGCAGCCCCCACACAGAAGCATCTTTCAGGCTTACCCCCCATTCCTGCCTTGTGACTGCACAGTTAAACTCTCCTAAGAGCCACTCAAAGCATGTTTAGAAAGAAGTCTCATGCATGAATAGCTGTAGGTGTAGATGGGACAGGTAAGCTATCAAGGCTGCAAGCCTCTCCCTCCCACCCTGCACAGTCCAGGTTGTACCTGCCCTGGCAGCCTGTGGGGTAGCCATGGCTATGCTGCTCCACTGAAGGGAGGGGGATGGATGGATGGATGGATGGATGGATGGATGGATGGATGGATGGATGGATGGATGGATGGATGGACGGACAGACAGAAGAGCAGACTGCCCACAACCAGCAGTGTTTCCTGGCCCGGGGCTGGTGCTGGGGCAGGGAGCCCTCGGCGGCTTGCAGAGCTGGCGCTACGCATTGCCAGAACCATGGGCTCATTTTCTGTTTCCATGCATTGAGTTTCTGGTGTTTAGCTCTGCTGCCTCTTCCCCCGTGTGAAGTGAGGCCTGTGTATTTCCCCCATTAACACATGTCAGCGTTGACAACAAAAATAGGTGCGCTGCTTACACTTACCAACCCATTGAAAGGAAGGTGTGCAGACCTAGTATGTACAAATTTCTCTGTAATACTTCACAGCTTATTTCCTGTTTTACTTGCTCGCTCAGGTTTTCCAATCTCCTGTGCTCCACCAATGACTCGTGTCATGTAAGGAATGAATCTCCATTCTCCTTTCATGATGCTGTCAGTGGCTGAAAGGACAAAATAGCCCTGTGAGCTTGCAGCTTACTAAGTAAAGATTTTAGTTCACCTTTCAACTACAAGTTCTCTTCTCTTTTTTTTTTTTTTTTCTTTTTTCCTTCTTCTACTTATGGTTTCTGTTAAGCCTCACAAGGTAATTTTTGTCTGCAATAATTACACAAAACTTTATGCATCTTTATATAAAAAAGGGAAGTGAATTCTCTGGCTAGCTAAGGGTGTTGTGAGAATTCATCAGCCAATGTTAGAAATTAGTGTCTAATCTTATCTAAAAAATGTGTTATATGTGAAATTTGAGAGTTGCTCTTAAGAGAAGGCTGCTGATTGATGACAACACAGATCGTGCATGTGCTGTCATCTTTATCCTGGCTGTGATTTTTTTTTTTTTTTTTTTTTTTAAGCTAGTGAGGATGTGAGGGACAGAAGGAGCCTAATGGGACTTCATATACGGTGTGATGTATGGGGCACTTGCAGTCAGATATATTGAACTCATAAATGTACTCATTTGCCCTGGAGTCACTGAGAGGGAGACTAAATACAGGACACCGCAATGTCATGGTCATGCAGAGTCACTTCTGTAACAACAGAGCTACAGTAGAAAGGCTGTATTTTTCTTTGATTTTACTGCAAATCTGTAAATGAGCTCTGTGAGACTGCTATCACTGGCCGGAGGAGAAAGTGAACTTTTGCTGAATTTGGCTGTATGTAGACCACTTTTGCATTTTGTTGTTTTTCTGAGATTCTCAACATTTTGGAGTCCTATTTTGAAGAGACCCTGCACATGCTGTCTGTTCTGTCTCATGTCTCCACCATAGCACGGCAACCCTAAGCTCTACCAGCTTACCCTTCAAGCATGAAGGTGAGATGAAGTTGAATGTGCACATCCGAAGCAGATGGTTAGACCCAGTCTTGCAGTGGTATTTATGAGAGATTTTCTTCATGTCATTTCAGCAGCACAGAAGGAAATGAAAGTGTTTCTTACTGTGAATACTTTTCTCTCTCCCCCTTTCTCTGCACTGCTGTGAGAGTCTGAAGACTCACTTCACTGCTTTTCTCACAGAAGGCTATTTCTGTCACAGATCAATTTAGGCCTGTCCTATGCATGTATGATAAAGACAGGATGGTGCTATGGTAGCCTTGAATAAACTTGCAAATTTTGGACAGCGTGAGCAAGAGGTGAGATGTAATTGTCATTGCTAAGAAGTCAGAGGGGACAAACTAGTGGCTGAAATGTGGAATTATCGACCAGAGCCAAACTGAAAAATAGTGCAGACCACAACACAAGGGGTTTAACCATTTCTCTGAAATGCGTGTATAGATGTAATTCCACTCTGCGGAGCTTCTTTAACGGACTGTGTCTATGTCTGTGTCCAGAGAAACTGCATGGAAGTGTAAAATTCCCAGCTGCATCTTGCACTGTGTCACAGTTATTCCTTGGCACATCTACTAAGCGCATCTAAAAAAATCCAGATGTTGGCTCTAATGCTATGGCAGTTTACTTCCTCCAGCAAGCAAGGCAGTTTCTGCTGCATTGTCTGTATAATTTACCTCAGCACTCAGTGCAAAATGCCAGCATGCTTCAGGCCATCTCAACAAGTGTGAACAAAATATCTGGCCCTGCATGGCCCTGTAGATAACTGGTTCACAGCCATTTTTCAGGATTGGCCTTTCAGTCCTGTCTCTGGGATCTGCACTCCAGACTCAGGGTGGCTCTCAGGCTGTGTTCAATCTAGTTGTGCAATGCAACTTAACTTCCCATAACCTTTATTCTTTGCCTGGGGTGGCTGTACCGAGCCCTTTCCTGCATGGCAGGTACCATTCAGTCACTAGAAGAGCCCAGCAAAGCTCAGGCTGGCAACATAGCCTTTGCGAATGGAGGGAGAGCTTTATCGCACCTCTCCTCCTGGCAAGACTCTCTGTGAGTGATTGTTGTTAATATTTTAGAAAATCGGCTGGTCTGCATGTGCAGTGCTTTATTTGACTGGACTGATTTCTCTTCCCTGGGTGGGGATGCTGTGCTTTGATAAACTGGAAAAGGATGGAAGAAATAGGTGTTTTGCCTCTGTCCAGTCTCAACGTTAGCATCTTCATAAACGAGGTGAGCTAACCAGGAGATATTTTTGTCTCTCCTCATCTCTCAGCCCTATTCTCACACTTGCAGCTAGCTCCAAGGTGCACGACTTTGCAGAGCACATTGTGGCTTGTGTTGGTTCAGCCCGAGTTCAGTCACCCAAAACCTTGCAGGTCTATTTTGAAACATTATTCAATCTGTCCACTATGGAGTTTCTTTTCTTTTTTTTTCTTCACTTTTGCTTCTGACATCATTTCCTGAACGCTATATTCACAGAGCTCTGTAGCCAGATCGTCTTCTCAGCACATGATGCAAGGAGCTCTTTAAAATGGATTTCAGCTTTCCTTTTACTCTGCAGTGCTTGCTGGTGATAATAACGGTTACTCATGGTAAGTTAGATTTTTCTTTATGAAGTTGGCACAGATTTGCCTAGATGAGCAGCCACTTTAATTTTGCTCCAAGATCTTTTAAGGATTCTACCAGGTTTGGGGAGACTTCAGATAGTGTAACTGCTAATGCATGAAAGGGGCAGTCAGACCAAAGTAAGACAAATAATTTTTTTAGTAAGCAAATGATAACTAACAATATAGTACTTTCTCAGTGTACTGCATCTGTAAAAGCGTTTCAGTGGAGAACATAAGGTCCTTGTATGCAGAATGCTGGCTGGAGGGGCTGGAGAGCAACGTGGTCCTGCTCCTGATGCTCAGTGTGACCTTGGTTTAGTTCCCTGAGCTGCTATCGCCCTGTCATTTACCCATCTCTGATTTGCGTACAGCAACTTAATAACGTGCAAGGATATTGTGAGACTTGCTCAAGTTAAGACTGTAACCTTACTCTGTAGGTAAAAGCAACTGTGCAGGTGGCAGTTGTTTTTGCTACCCTTTGTACAAGATCTATGGCACTGATGTCCTGAGGATCTTTCTTCGCACAGTCTCTAAGCTCTGAGGGGGTGTAGTAGATGGTCACATCAAATTTGGGGAGAGAAAAGGCCAGCTGCTCAGCCTTTTGTCGCCCTGTGTGCATGGTGTGTGCATCACTCCCATGTTATCAGGGGGGAAAGTTGGCCTTTACAGAAGACTTCCCACTCCTCTGATTTACAATTACTGGTGACCCCAGCCTGTCACTGGGGATGGATCTGTCCCTCTTACGTCTCACCTGGGCGTTTGCCTTTCTGAGAGGCAGATGCGAGGGGGTGAATGGACATGGGAAGGTTGCTGCCCCCACCCTGTGCCTCTCCTTTCAGGCTCTATCTCCCGGACCAGAGTGCTCAGTGGAGACTCAGCAGTCTTTCCTCTGGGAATTCAGAGTCTGCAGACCTCCCTCGGAATGATCAAGAGGAATGTGACATGCTTGACAGCTGTCTTAAATGATACTTTGTTGGCTAAGTGTGGCACTTCTGCCAGAAGATGCCTGAACTTGCAGAATGGCTCTCTAGTGCTGAGGAACGTGGAGAAAGAGGATGAAGGAAAATACGAGTTTGTTTTTCAGAACACCACCAGATTTTTTACACTGGAAGTATTTGGTAAGTGGCCTTCTTAGCAAAAAATACCTTTTGAACTTGTGAGCCTGGCTGTAAGCTGGTGCCTTGAAATTCTTCCTAAGAGATGACTTGAGCTTGGAGGAGCTATAGGTGCCTCTGGAACAGTTTTTTAAGCTTCTGGCACCTCAGCAAACAGTAATGGTGAGTGTAAACTAAGGGATGCTTTTTGCATCCACATTGTTGGTCTCTCCTGTCTGTTGAGCTTTCCTTGAAGTAGCCAGTCAGTTGAGCTACATGTTGTTTATCCCTGATGTAAGAGACAGTAGCGTGAAGTGTTTGTAAAGTTGAGCCTGTAGATAAGTAGCTGGAGATTTCAGTCCATTTCCAGAGTACTCTTCCTGATGGCTCTCACTGACCAACAGCATTTTGCTGCCTGTGGACATGCTTCCTTAAGAGATAACCCTACCTGACTTGGCTCTGGAAACTGAACTGGGCTCTGTGCAGGTCTGGGTTGAGGCATGCTGGGTTTTGCCCCTGCTTCATGCAGCCGAGGAAAGGTACTAAAGGAATCCAGGTGTGACTTTCTAATTCTTAGCTGCCCCCAAGCAGCTTTGAGGTCAGCAACTTCAGAGACCTGCAATAGGTACCTTCCTGTGCCAGTCTCCCTCCTGTCCTCCCTGTGGCCTCAGAATTGCTGCTCCCCTTCATGTGCCTGTTCATCCGTCTGTGGGGTGAGAAGACAGAAACAAAGTCGCTTCTGTACAGGAGCCAGCTCATTACTCGGGTTAATATGGAGAAGGCTTAAGTGGTTTTGCCCCCCTGCTTGAACAGTGCTCCAGACAGCCAGCAACCATTGCTCTGGTCCTCATCTTCACCGTTCCTTTTGCAGGGCTTTCTCTTACATAAGCTTCTAAGAGAAATTGAAGCGTAAGAAATTGTAATGAAAATGTCTGAGCAAACTGGTCTCAGTGAAGACAAATGAATCCTTACACATTTGTGGCGCAAACAGGCGGAACTGCCATGCAGAGTAGGTCAAAGATATGACTCCTTGGCACAAAGATCAGGGGCTTAGGCTGGAAGTAGGCAAAGACTACAGAAGTGTCCTGGGTTTAATCTCCGTTTCAGGGAATTTGCTTTGGGAACTTATGTTTCCTCCTTGTCTTCTGTTGCCACACCTAAGTCATGGAAACAGTTTCACAGCAAAGGTATTCCTGGAGGCAGTGAATTTTAGCTGAAGGTGATGTCCTGGTTGACGAAAGTGACTTCTGAGCTTATTTACATGGATGTTTGGATAGACATCCTCAGTGTGACTCTTACTGTCATAAACCCATACCACTTCTCTGTCTAGTCTGTATTTGCAAAGTGGCAACTGTAGGAAATAGGTTGGCTCCTGTAGTAGACTGAGAAAAATTCAGGAAAGCGTAAGATGATCAATGATTTGTTACTTCATTTTAAATTGTCCTGGTCTGGGTCATTCTATCTAACTGCAGGTGTCTGGTATTGGTACCCATGTCGGGCATGATTCATACTAGTTCATCTCTAAAATAGAACAAGAGACAGTGCAACAACAAATGCACAAACCACTGGTAGACGAGAGGTCTGAGTCTCTTCTGATGCTATGATTATCTGCTGATTACAGAGGAAGCCTCTGACTGGCAGGTGGTTTGGGTGCTTCCACTGCCCTCTCAGATCAGGGATTTTTATTCTTCTCTTTTTCAATTTCAACAAGGAAAATGAAGAGATGACAGATTTTTGTGGCATCCCCAAAATAGGGACCAGGAGTCACTAGCAGAGTTGGGTGGGCACTGCTAAGCATTTCAGGGCTGGGGGCAGGCACCCACGAGTCTGGTTGCTTATTTCTGTGCTCCCTGGCTACCAGTAAATTCAGTGGTAGTAAGACTGCCGGTAAGGAAAGCTCCCATCCAGCTCATGTTCACTGCTGAGTCTGCTCCTCACCTCTCTCTTCCCTCCCTGTTCCCGTTGCCCCATGCTGTGTGTGACCAGAGCTGGCCATTGGTATCCAGTGCTTCCCCAATGGGACCGCAGAGTTGTCCTGTGACGTGACCAGCAACACGAGCACCAACTTTCGGTGGCTGCTGAATGGCACTGTGCTGAGTGCCCCTGAATCTTGCATTAAGGATGGTGGAAAGAAGGTTCGCCTGGACAAAACTGTGCCTGGAGAATTTGTATGTGAGGTGTACCATGTGACCAACATCCTGAGGACAAGGCCTGTTGTGCTGTCTTGCAGCTATGGTGAGTAACAGCATCTCCAGAAAAACTCCCTTTTGGTCTGTTGCAGCAGAAAACTAAGGAGTGGTTGTTGTCTGAGTAATACCGAACTCTTGTGTCCTCTGGCAGCTGCTTTCCAGACTTACCACATCCTCCATTTAGAAAGTGTCCCCTTGACTTCCTTCTCCCTCCTGTGTCTCGAACTGACACAACCTACAACCACAGAAGGGATGGAAGCTTCTTCAGGAAGTCTTTTTACCCAGCTCTGCAGCACAGATCTATCTCTGTCTGTTTTCCTACTTCCCAATGATGGAGACCTTGCACCCTCCTGTGCACTGATCCTTTATGCTGATTTAGGAACAGGAGCTGCTTCCTACTCCAACATTCATCCATTACTCAGATGGCTTTCCATTTCTGCAACATCCCTGTAAAAACACCTCTCCTAATTCAACCCTGTTGCTGCTGGAATCAGCTGAGGTGGTTTTTGTCTTGTCCCATTCCTCCTTATCTAGGCCAGATGCACAAAGATTTACCAGTGTATACAAATGTCTCTCCATCAGCCCCACACCATCAGAGGTGGAATAAAGATATAAGTCATTTATTTTGGGAATATAGGGGTTTTTTTTCCTCCATATCCCTGCTCAGTTATGTAGTTCTGTGAGAAGGCTTTATCCATTTGCAAACTGTCCATAAATGCAGAGTACTCTGCTTGGATGAGGCCATAGTTTAATGAGATGGACAATCTGGATCCTAGGACTGATCAAAACTGCCAGAACCTCATGATGAAAGGCACTGGTCTGTGTTGTAAGCTCAAAAAATTAAAAAAAAAAAATTAGATAGCTTTGAGTGTGATTTCCCTCACATCTCCAGTAGTGAAGGTTTTTCTCCTCTCTAGCAGAAAACATGGTCATAAAGACTACGTCAGGGTGGCATAATTTAACCATAAGGTTTTGTACTAATTTATCTGTAATTGATTTAATCACCTTTACTACTAGAGAAATTGTACTGTGCAATAGCAACTAGAATTTTAGAAACTAGGTGTGAGCTGCTTCAACTCTACAACATAGTCTTTTCTTCTGTGGTTGGCGTACAGTTGGTGCAAAAGCAAAATTAATGACATGAACCCCATATTGTGTCCTGTCATTCAACAGAAAGGCTGTGGTATGTTTGTGTCTGATGGCGTTGGTGCCGCTGGCCAATCTGTACAAGTTTGTAATTTGTGATTGTGAAGCAGTGATCTTAATTTTGTCCAGTTAAACTGGTCAGAAGTTGTTCAGCGTAGTTAGACCCAAGTTGGCTGAGATACTGGAGGGGTGAGGATGCAGACATCCATGAGCTGTTCAGTTGAGCCCTGTGATAAATCACATGAGTGCTGACAGTTACTATTGTTTATTCTGGGTGTCTGCCCAGTCCCCTGGGTGTGATATCAGTTCTCCATTTCCTCTTGAAAAGCCCACAGGGGACTTTAGTGATAGCTCTGTTGGGATGGACACACACATGAACATGTATTTGGAAGGATCTGAGAGCATAAAATTGTCAGTGATGCTACTTTTTAGTCACGAAATGTAACCACATTTGTAAAAAGTGAATTAAAGCAGTTCTGAGTACTAGTAAAATGAATTGGAGAGATAATTGAATTCAGTTTAATTAATTAAAGACTAATTAATTATTTTTTGAGGGTTAATATAATATTTGCTCCAGGAAAAGGGCTGAATATAGGTTTTCTGCTGTAGGCATAAGATCTATGTAAAAGCACCTGTTTGGGCAACCTATTGGCTGATTAAATTAACTTTGAATAATTGTTAGCGTAAAACAGTTTAGTGGAAAAACTGTAAATTTCCCAGGCGCTAAAGGGCTCTAATCATGCAGGATCTAAAGCAGAGGATTCAGAAGTTAATAAGTCAACATATATAAAAGCCTTTTATTCATTCATTACTTGTTTTATGACTTGTTTATTACTAATTTTTAACACAATATTTTATTTCAAAAAGAACTTTTTAGCAAATGGGAAATTATTAGGAAAAACTATTTCCAACATATTTATGCCTTTGATAATATTCTCTAAGCTTTCATCAAAAAGGAAAGAAAATTATTAGGGAAATGATTTCTTATTTGCTGAAAGTTTAATTTTGAGGTTTTTTGAAGTTGAAGTTCCTGAGGAGACTGGAACAAGCAATCTGAAAATACTTTGAGCATGTATGATTTCACACACAAGAGCACCTGTCTACAGTTGATTTCACTGTTCTAGTGAGTATCTGGACTATGACAGCGTGTAGTATGTCTTGGAGTGTTTGAAACACTTCCCAGCCTCTGGGGATATGCAGCAATTTGTGCGTTTGGGGTCTTGAAAACAAGCTCCAAATGCTGGTTTCCCCAGTACAGTGCTGTACAGGCATGCGCGCAGACAAAAAGAAGCCAAATGATTCAAAAAGGGATGCCATCACCCCTACCCAAGGAGTTTTAAGGAAATTACATTCTAGCAATTGTTGAGCTGTATGGTTTTTTTCATATTGGGAGGAAGAGTTTTCACACTGGCTACCCCAGGTTGGAGCAAATTGTCCTAGTGAAGGAGTCTGGACAGGTCTCTTTTTTCTGCAAATCTGTGATGCCCTCTACCAGCTTCCCTGCTCAGCAGCAACTTATGTGCAAGTCTGACCTGTCAAAGCAACCCTGAGCACTGAACTGGGTAATAATTACCACTGACTCGTGTGTGGCCCTTCTGCTAAGCCATCTGTAGCCATCACCTCCTGCTAGGCGTTTCACATGATCTCGGTTGGGAAGGGGAATAAAGAGAAATCCTTCTCTGAGCAGTAGCGAAGCTGGTTTCCTACAGCTCTGACTCGGGTGGCTGAAGTCTCTGGTGCCGGAGGAAGTGCAGGCTCTGATCAGACTTTCTTTGAGGTTGGTGCAGTCGTTATATGGCTGTCCTAAGTGGATTCTCTGGGGCCTAAGATGAGCTCTGAGGGTAGACTCTGATGCTTTTCTTTCAGCAGGAGATGCTAGCTTAGGTCTCCCTCCTCTTTTCAGTTGCCTGCTTTCATAAAGGTTGTTGAAATGTTGTATCTTTCAAACCACCACCATCCCTGTTAAATTTGATTAAAACTTACTAATTATCTTCGATGTTACTGGTCAGAGTAGGCAGAAACAAATGCACACAGCATAGTCATACTCATACAAGCCTCTCTTCTTAACGAACAATTCCATTCCATAATTAAATGATGTGACCTAAATTACAATGTGCCACATTTCATAAAAATCAGCTCCCTGATCCAAACCAAACAAAAGCAGTAATAATGACCACATGTTCTAATCTGTCTTCAGGTTTCTCCCATTTGGAGAAAGCAGCTTTTCCACCCTGATAACTAACAGAGCCCTGTCCTTGTAGGAGACCTGCTGCAGTACCCGTGGTTCATTTACATCCTGGTGGGATGCGCTGGGGGTGCGGTTATCCTGGTGGTGGTTGTCTCCTCAATCATATGTTGCTGCATGAAGAGGAAAGACAAGTTCATCCCAGTGCCTTCAGGTGAGTGGAGAACACGGTTGTTCCTTGGGAAGAGTCTCACAGAGGACTGTGTTTATGCAGCCTGGGGTTGAAATGGCCTCACCTTGGTGGCAGCTCATCTTTCAGTCAGCCCTCCCCTGACCTGGTGGAGCAGAAAGCTGCTTGCTGACAGGAAACTGTTACAACCAGCAGGGTCTTGAATTAAACCTTGATTTTCCTTTTTTCACCTCATGCTTGCCACCTTGTGCTCCTGGCCAGAAAGAAACAGCAAAACCTTTTCTGTGAGCAAGAAAATGGAGCCTCATTCAGGTCTGATCCTGAAAAGACCTGAAGGCCTCTGATGGCAGTCCTTTGTCAGCACCAGTCCCTGAGTGCAATCTGCCCGTGCCCAGTGAGGCCACCTCAAGCTGTGATCCTGCCGGCGTGGCCAAGCTGGTCTCTGACAGGTTGGCAGTGGCCCTCTGTACTCGGCATCTGTCTGCTCCAGGAATGGAGCCAGTGCCACTTGAGACGCACGCATGTGTTGGTGGTCCAGCCTCACAATGAGTGGGCCAAGGCTGCTGGGCTGTGGGGGTCCGCTTTCCTTCAAGTCTCTGATTTTGGTTTTACAGAGGAGGAGAAGGATGATGGACTAACAATGTCCGTGGTCTCCAGTGAAGGTGTGAAGAGCCCCCCTAATGGAGACCATGTCGAGGCTCAAGCTGCCCAAATCGACTGCCCTTCAAAGCCTGGTAGGTCCAGTGACTTAAGTTGGACAGATAGCCTGTTTAGGAGGGTGAAGGACAAAATGGATGTGTGTGACTGATGGGGGAGGAGCTGACCAAAGAGAGGGACCTGGGACTTGCTAGCACAGGGAAGGTGCTACATCTTGTCTAGATGACAGAAGTTGCAGCAGGTCATTTATCAGTACCTTACTTGTGCTCGGCTTCTGCGCAGGAGTAACTCTTGCCCTCATCTAGCTGTGAGCTGTAGCAGCAGCCATCTCATAAGCATCCCGCAGAGGTGGTACTGCCAGCAGACTGCAGACTGTCTGTTCCAGTATCTTCTGTGCTAAAATACACATCTCTCAAAAACAGCAACCCCTCAAAACTCTGCGGTTTTCCTGCAGTTTTATTACACACACCTCTTTCTCATCAGTAATGTTTTATAAGAACCAGCATTGTTTTTGTAAGCAGTCATCCTCAGGACAGCATCCACCAATATGCTGAACAGTAAACACAGCTAAATCCCACCAAAGTCAGAGGCTTGTGTATTTCCTTAAATTGGTGCTAAAGTAGGAATACAGTAACATTTTAATTCCTTCAAAGTAATCAAGAATAAAAGCCCACAGATTTAGCACAGTATGGCCCAGAGAGCGCAGCGATAAAAACCTCTCAGAAATTTCCTGGTTTGTGAGTGCTTGATACTAATACTCTACTTTTTGCATTATGTTTCCCTCAATTTTGTTTCACAGACACCTTCCCTAGTAATGCTCATCAGCTCATCAGCTGAAGTAGATCTAGCAACAATATCATGAACTAGAGCAATGTTACATAGGACATAGCCTGGTCTTGGCACTACTGTCTCTGCTTCTGCTATGCTTCACTTCACCATGCACAGCCTCTCAGCAGCTCAGCTATGCTTTATGTCTAACCTTGGATGCTGTTTTGCTCTCCTTTCATAATATTAAATGCTACTCATGAACATAGTGCAAGAAAAAAAAAAGAGTCATTTAGGTTATTGTTTAACATTAACATACTTAAAGTGTAGAACTTTTTTTAAATAAAAAATTTCTGAATTGTCAGTTTGACTAATTTTCTGCAAATAAGTAAAAAGCAGAGATGTGCCAGGAAAGTGTTTAGGTGAGAACGTATCAAATGTGTGCTTGTTAGCCAGCTTTAATCATTCAGATGTGACTGAATAGATTTTTCTTTGGTACTTTGGCACATTTTGGGCAGTTGAGCACAGAGATCTTCAGCACAATCAAAGCTGGGACGAACATCTCAATAAATGAGTAGTTACAAAGAAAACTGACATTTGGCTTGCAGACGCCTGGGGAGAAGGGACTGAGTGGGTTAGGCAGCTTGTGGCATCAAGGACTGGAGGGAAGATTTCCATGGAAGTGAGCATAGTGTGGGCAATTATAAACTATTTCTCCCTTCTTCTCCAGATGCTGCCCAGACTGGTCAAGGCATTGAGACCCTGCCTCCCATGGAAGAAAATTTACCAGTGGAGATAGAGCCTGAGGAGATGCCAGACCCAGAGGTCATAGTTGATGTGGAAAGCCAGGAGAATGCCTCGGACTCTTTCCCGGGTCCAACTGATGACTGATCTGTCATGCTTGCTGTTGCACTTTCTCTTGAAACCCATGACAAGCATTATTTGCACCCCATAGTCTCATTCTGTGTAAGAATTGGTCCAGAAAATTTTAGCAGGAGGAAGACGTGAGGTGTCAAGCCTGCTAACCTCATTAAAAAAAAAAAAAAAAGGAAAAGAAAATATAAGAAAAAGCACATGTGTGACTTCAAGGCCACGCTGCCATAGGCTGACAGGTTCACTAACAAACAAAACTGGACAGCTCTTTGATGGTTTGCCTGTTAATAGACCTGCAGTTAACCTGTGGAGCCCTAGAGGACAGCCTGAAATGAGACAGACGGTTCCTCCTGCTCCCTGCCTACCCCACGCTTTGCCATGTCTTCACCAGTCAGTGGTTCCTGCAGGGGGTGGGCATGACAGGTGGACTGAGGTGGCCTGCGAGTCCCAGATGGAAACAAGGACCTGACAGGAATTTCCTGAGAAAGCCTCTTCTCAGGAGATTTCAAGGCATTTTTCACAGGCCCTGCAAAAAAAAAGCTCGATGGAAGTTTCAGCTAGGTATCTGCTGTGGCAGATGTTTATCTGAATTGCTCCTCTGAGCTCCAGACCCTTTGTGATTTGTCCCTCACCGCTTGCTGCGTGGGGCCAGGAGTAGTGGTAGGGGCTGCTGCGTGGAGACCCGGGAGGTGATGCTGGCTTGCTCGCCTTTTGATGCCCTGTAATGGCAGGGGGCTACCAGTTACCTCCTGCCAGAACCTAACTGCTCGTGTTGCCAGTGAGTTAAAACAGCTCTGTCACTAGCTTGCTTGCTTGCAGCAGAAGGGTGCTTGGGGCTTGGGTGTGTAATTTTGGCAGAAACGTTGATTATAATGCCGTGATCATTCATCAGTGCAAGCATTAGTGCCTTTAGTGTAATGGTTTAGCTACTGCAAGCTGGTGAAGCTGGCCATCTGCCTGTGCGTGTAGGCTTCTTCAGTGCTGTGTTATTTGCATAGGCAGCAGCAATTTATGGGATCTCTTAGGCAAGTCTTGCTGCTACACAAGTCCTGTTCTGCTCAGGGGAGGTTTGCCAGTGGATGAGCTGGGGTAGACCTGCAGGGAAGAAGGACAAGGTGAGGGGAGGGCAAGGACTTGGTCTCAGGCAGCAGGTAGCCGAGCCCCTGACAAAGCTGCCAGGGGCTGCTGAGCTGTCAGGCCATGGGGAGTGCTGCAGGATGCACTGCCCAAGCAAGGTATTTGCTGTGTAAGTGCATTTCGATGGTCAGAAGTGAGGCATGTTGGTGTTAAACTAGCCCGAAGGGCTAGAAAGTAATGGTAGAGTAAAAGCAGAGATGGTACAGATCGGGGTCGAAAGGGATGGCGATGCGAGTACTGCATTCCTCTCTTCCCTTGTCATTTTGTCTCTGGTTTATATTGTGCCGTGAATCCCTTGGAAAAGGATTTTAGGTATTCCTTGTGAATGCCACCCGGTGAGGTCTGAAGAAGTACCCCGGCAAAATCAAAACTGAGCTGAATGCTTCTTTCCCAGGCGGGGGAGCTGGTGGGACGGCTGCATGCTTACCTGGAAGTCCTTCATGTCTGTGTACATGGCAAAGCTCTGCATCGGGGGTGCCCAGTCATAGGTGGTTGTTCTTGTTGTTTCCTTGTCCCGTGACTCTGTTTAGAAGATTTTTGGATCTTGTGTGCTGTGTTGGTGGTGATTCAGCCTGTTTCTGCTTTTTAAGGCTGCCATAGGAATCAGATTTTCCACGGTAAGAGGGAGATAATAATTCTTTTCCTCATGGTGCTGCGCTATCTCAGTACAAACATTCCTCAAAGGCTGTGAATAGAATGTCAAAAATGTGACAGTGAGCGCATGGGGTGGCAGCTGCCTGTAGGCAGTACAATGGCAGCGACACTGGGTGAACAGGGGCCAGGGACACTGCAATGGGGGGACGTCGTCAGCTTTGCTTCTCTTCTGCACTTTCTGTCAGGGGCAGGCAGGGGACAGTCGACTCCAGTACATGCTTCGAAGGCTGAACGAAGGTGCTCTGAGCTGCGCTGGAGAAGATGCCAGTGTTTCGGATGCTGAGGGTGACAGAGCTGGGCCCGCCTTGACCTGCTGGGCTGGTGTGTCCTGGCTTCAGCTTGCCCTAAGCGCTGCCTTGCTGGGGTGCCCTGGCAGCCCTTGGCACCCTCACCGGTGCAACCCCAGGCTCGGAAGGATTTTTCCTACTGAGATTGGAATCTGAGAATTGAGCCATCTTTAGGAGGCAGATAGGACACGGCTGGTATTCTGTCCTTCCCTGCTGAAGATGCTGTTCAGCAACAGGGCAAAGGTTTCTGTTACTGTGAGGTCAGGAGAGAAGTTGTGCAGCCTGTGCTTTTCCTCTAACTGTATGTATTCAAGCCCCACTATTGTTCTTTTTTTTTGGTGGTGTTTTACTTTTCCCTGCAATGATTTTGTTCCTATAATAAAAAGATCTGTTTTCTAACTTGTTTTGGAAATGTTTAAGTTCTGTTACTTAACAATTATTTCTTTAAGATTTTTTGCTGACAGTACAGACTGATTTCCAAATTTTCACCTGGCCAAGTAAAGGAAAGGTGATAGTGCTGATTAGCGCTGACTAGACCTGACTTGGGTAGTCCAGGGAATAGAAATCACAAGGAAGTTCATTTGTAAGTCAGTCCAGGGGAGGCTGTAGGACGGTAGCATATAACTAGTCCCTATCAAAGCGTGTGTGCTAACGTGCCCGCACATCTGTGTGCACCAGCAGCTTGCCAAAGCATGCTCTGGTGCCTTGCCCAAACTGTGAGATGCAGGGAAATGGTCTTGTTTCACCCATCTGCCACAACCACCTTAGCTGTGAGATGGGATGTTTGACTGCATAACTCCTTTTGCAAGGAGGTGGTGACTTATGCTCACCCTTAGACAAGTGAGCTCAGATGGTGGGTAAAATCAATGTCCCGATGGTATGTGATGATATCAAGTCCCTTGATTTTACCATTACAGGGTTAGCCCTGGAAGAGTGGTGTGACTGGACATGGGTGATCCTGTCCTGCAGCCTGTGAACCTAGTACCCCAAGGAGCCACCTGCCTGAATTTGCAGTTGTTTTCCAACCTGACTATGGTGCTGTATCACCCAGGCCATAGTGAGGGTACTTTTGGGCCTGAGGCTATCTGTCAGAGTAATGAGTATGGATGTACATGGTGTTATCAGGAATTTGAGTAGAAACAGAGATGTCTGTGCTGCTTCTTCAGGGCTTCTGGCAGCCTTGGTGAGGCTGTGCCGTGCTGGCCTTATCCCGTCTCTGTGTTGCTGAGAGAGGCCTTGATTCTGGGGTGTCTGTCTGGGTGCCTCTGTGCTCCTGCGGGGAGCTGGTGCTTTCTAGGGGAGGAGAACTGCACTGAGAGCTGCTAGTCATGACATCCTCTCCAGCCACTGGTCCTGGCTGGGGAAGGCTGGGAGTAGGGCAGGATCCATCCATCTGCTCATTGAGTGCTGACAAGACAAGGGGAGCTCTGCTCTGTGGGAAATGCAGATGCTTTGGGATGTGTTTTCTTCCCGGCTGAGATGACAAACCACCCGTGGTTTATAGTACTGTGCAGAATGGATGTTTAGATTAGTATTCATGTCAGCGTTTCATGGTGGGAAGACAAAAATTTCCCTCTGCTTGTGGCATATGCTAAGCAACAAATGACATGAAATGTAATATGTAGCCTTTTCATCATGTAATTCATGCAGTTTATTAATATAAAAGGAGAACAGAGAATGATCTTATTTGACTTAAGATATAGGTGAAACCAAAAGCACAAACCAAATGTGTTGTATAACAGCAAGCAGAGAAAGGAGAATGATTCCTTTGGAGTTTTTTTTTAGCATTCAGGATGAACTCATTTCCACAAAATTCTCATGTCAGTAAAGCTCCCCATCCCGGTGGTGAAACAGTTTGTTCTCTGCTTTCCAACCTCTACCCTAGGCTGCTGTGCCTGTTGTTCCAATGGCTCTGTGCATAGCCCTTGGGGTCCTCCCTTGGAGTCCAGCATGGGAGCAGAGGCTCCAGGGCAAGAACCAGTGGTTTGTGGGGAGCTGAAGGACCAGCCCTCCCTGCCACCATCAGCTCTGCAGAAACAACAGACTAGAGGTGGGTGAGTCTGAGAGCAGACAGACAGAAGTGATAAGGGGCCAGTTTACAATAGCAAAAGAAATGTTTGTTGTAAACACTGAAGAGGCACGTGAGCAGTGGTTGTGTTAACTTCTGATTAAAATATCAGTGTAGTTGAAAAAAAAAATCTAGATTTTAGGCATGTCTGTAGTAAGTTCATGTCACTTTTTATGAATTGCAATTAATTTCAAAATAAGCAAACAAGAAGAGTTCACATGTAACTCAACTGCAGGATACAGTGTCACTGATAGAGATCTTCAAAACTATTTCTTTAACATTAGGCAAAAATTCTGGTGGTGCTACAAGATCCAGAAGTGTAGGTACTACTACCACCAAGTGAGGAGGAGTGAGATGCCCCATGGACTTCCATATATGTAAACACACAGACCAGTAATGGACATGGGCAAGAAGAGCCATTGCTGTCTGAGATGGAAGCAGAATTCAGTGATGTCATCACAGAGGCTTGGATTAGCGTTTGGGTATTGCTTGTGCCTTTGGCCAGCCTGCTCAGAGCCTGGGTGTGATCAAACCCTGCCTGCATGAGACTAGCAGTCATGAAGTTCCTCCTGAGCATACGCAATGCTCCCCTCTTGTCTTGTGGTGTAAAACAGGCTGGGAAACAATATCATCATCCAGCGGGGACCCTGTGACCTTGGACAACCAGTGACTGCATCCTGCATTGGTTTTGTTCACAATGAGCGGTGTGTTTCCTCTCTGCACAACTACATGACTCATCTCTCAGGCAGAGGATGTGGCTGGAGAGAGCAGCAGAATCTCTGCTGAGAACCCAGAAGGCCCTTAAGTGAAGCCCTTCTAAATAATTGTACTTTCTAGAAAGCAAATGGTGGCAGGTGTTGTGTTAATTATGTCAGGATTAATTTAACTTGGATACAATCAGTTAAGAGACATCTCTGGGCTGTGTGGGACCACTGGGAAGAGTGGCATCTTTCTGGCTGGCCTCCCTCAAATGCTACTTTTCTGACTCCGGGCTGGCTGATGGGCTGAAGTGGAGCTCTTGGCCAGCTCTGGGACTGAGAGACTCTTACCCCCAGCCCTCTTGGTCACCAGCAAACAATGTGACAATCAAATGGATGTCCACTCTTGCTAGGGACTAAAGAAACTCTTTCCTGCTCCTGGAAGGCAAAGGATATTTAATGATAAGAAAGATGGGGGGAAAGGAAGGAGGGGAGGCAGAAACAACGCCCTTAAGCATTAAAATAGGGTTAAACCCCTCAGGAACTGGATAGCAATTACATTCAAGTAGCATGTGAAGAGCCCAGAGCAGTTCTGTCTATGCATGCTGACAGCATCACTGGCATCTTCATGAAGGTATTTCCTACCTCAGCCAGGAGGCAGGATTTCAGCCCCAAGCAGCTGCTTGTCTCTGGGGTTTCCTCAGCTTCCCATCAACCATGAGGGCATGTGGGGCCTGACTTCACCAAATTGTCCATCATGCTTGCAAGGTTAGGTACGCAACTATACCCCTCACCTCTCAATGCACCTATAGCTGCCCCATGAGCTGACGTTGCCATCATCTTTGGTCCACACCTCCCGTCGCCTTCAAGCTTTGCTCAGAGCAGGGGCCCTCTGCCAGCACTGTGCCTCCTTGTTGCTTGGGGAGCTGGGTTTGGACCTGCTGGGCTGTGACCACGGATGCCTGATATCCCAGCTGGAGCTGGCTGTGGGTCTGCAGGCAGTGAGTGGAGTGATTCCTGGATTTTCCCTTTGCTCTTCCTGTGGTCCCTGGGTGCTGGAGGGGTGGGTGTCGTTAGGATGGAGTGAGTTTCTGCCTCCTGGGAGATGGGAATACTTGGCCTGTGCCTGCTTGGGTTATGGGCATTTTGGAGCAGGGTCTGGTCCTGGCGCTCAGGGAGACATCTGTAGTCTGCTTACCATGCCGTTGTGACAAACACTAATGGTAAGGAAAGGTTCCCATCTGCAGAGGTAGCAAATATGGGTGGCTAATGTCAGCTTATTTTTAATAGATATATTTTTCTGGTTAGCATATTCCATGTCATGCTTAGCCAATATCCATGATGAAATATTGGATGGGGCTATAGTATAAAGTGTGTATTTTATAATTGATATTAGAAATGAGCAAAAAAGCAAAACTTGGAACTGGAATTCTGTGCAGAATTTTTAAAGCTCACCTAAACTTATAACAGCTACTGATGGTTTTAGTATTGTCTATAGAAACTAGATGTATCACAGACCAAGAATTACTTGGAGGCAATTTTCAGTGAATCTTTTAGAATTGCAAATACAGTATATTAAAGAGAATTATTATCTGCTTCCTTATCATATGCAAATGGAACAAAGAAATACAGTTTAGTGGCTATTCTCTTGCCAGCATTGCTGTCTCAGCTTTGGTTTATAGAAGTTCCTCTTTGAGGGCAAAACATATTTTCCTAAAACTAAGGAATGAAGCAGTTTTTAAAGGTTTTTTTGATACTGAAAATCATGTAATAAGATACCTTCAATCAAAAACTGAGAGAAAAAGATGATGTGGGGCATTGTCTACATGAAAAGAATTGCAATAATGACTTTGAATGCTTGAAAGACTTGAAGCAAAGAGTGTTGAGAGTTTATGTTGCACTCCTGTGAAAGCTTTCCCTCACAGATCTCAGAGATTTCCCCTGTGAAACAGCAGACAAATCTATAGTTAGGGAATTTGGGGCAGCAAGGATGGGATTCAGTGACATGTGTGAATGGGTAGTCAGCTGCCTGGCAGTCAGTCTCGATTCACCTGGAGCTGACAACAGCAGCTAAAGCAGGTGGAGGCTTTTCCAAGGTGGCACACAGAGCCTGGAGCAGGAGCTACTTGCTGGGTGGGAAACCTCTGCTGCTGGTGTCTCATCACAGGATGAACTGTGGCAGGACCGAGAGGAGGAGGAGGATGAGGATGCAGAGAACAGAGTGATGGCTGTGGAGGATCCAAGAGGAAGAAAGGGTATGGGCTTAATGACTGAGGGTACAGAAGTGATGGTGAGTAATGGCAGTCGTAGATTCTGTTTCTTCCCTCAAATAGGTGGGGAGGCTGCAGGGGTCTCAAGCAGGGTCTGTCTCCCATCATCCTGCAGACTCTTCAGGCACTATAAAACGTAGTCCTCCAGCAAGCAGTAGTCAATGCTTCTTCCTCCTCATGCCTACTCTCCCTGATGTTCAGCATGAATCGAATCGTGTTCCCCAGATAGACGCACCTTTCTCTGGGTCACAGCTCCCCAGAGCCCCTCTGGCGATGCTCAGCCTGGGGCACCTGGGACTCCTTACTCCTCTCTGCCTTTCTCATGAGCCGTTTGCAGGGAATGTGCTGTGCTAGTTTTGATAA